AATAACAATGACAATGATAATAATAACAATAAAAATAATAAAAATGATTATAATTATAACAGTAATAACAATAATAATAACATTTGTCATCATAATGATAATAATCCTTGTCATCATAATGATAATAATCCATGTCATCATAATGATCATCATTCTATTCATCATCATATTAATAATCGTCATCATCATCATAATAATGATAATAAATAAAACTCCCGAAAATGAAAGCCAAGGAAGACGCTAACAACGGTTCCGAACACGCGGTCAGCCTGGCTGCGCGCTCCTTGCGAGGGACGGCGCATGGGTCGAGGGACGCCACCAACTTTCGGGGAAACTTCAAGAGAAGGATTCGCTGCACAGCGACGCAGCGACAAGAGCCACGGAACAGGATTCGTGGAGCCGCAACGCCTTCAGTAGCGTCTCTCTCGCTCCTCGTCCTTCCATCTGCCATTCTCTTCTTCTTCTCTCTCTCTCTCTCGCTTTCCCCTACCCCCTTTCTCTATCTCTCTCTCTCTCTTCTCTTTTAGCAATCTTGCCGACCAGCATTCGATCCCCCGCGCTGCCAGTGGATGGCAACCCGGCCATTCCTTGGTTAGGTTAGATTAGGTTAGGTCACAGCAAAGATTATCCATTGTAACAATGGGAAGTAAACTAAACCTTTTCTATATCTCTGTATGTATGTATATGCACACATATATATATTATATATATATATATATATATATATATATATATATACACACACAAATACATATATAAATCTATATATATATAGATAGCAAGATATGAGTATACTGTGTCTCTCTTTCCTTACTCTTTTTTTTTTCTCCTCTTCTTCTTTCTTGCTCCATCTCCCATCTCCCACTCTTTCCATTTGCTCTCTTCTCTCTGTGTCTCTCTTGTTCCTCTTTTACACTCTCACTCTCCTCTTCCTTCCCATCTCTTATTAACCCCCTCTCTCCCTTCATCGTATTTCTTTTTTCTTTTCTTTTTCCACCTCTTCCTCTCTCTATCTCTCTCTCCTTCTCCCTCTCTCTCTCTCACTTACTCACTCACTCACTCTCTCTCCACGCACTCAGATCATTTGGCGATTTTGTCAAACATAATAAATCTCGAGATCAAATATTGGCTCTGGGAAACTGACTAATTGGCAACCTCCCCCAACAGCGCACGCTTTGACTGAGACAAAAATGACGTTCAAAAGCACAGAATATAACAGCTCAAAACACTAGTTATCATAAACAATCGATGTGTGGAGAACAGTCGCGGGTGCCCTCAATATGCAAAATACTGGCATGCAAACCACTTTTTTCTCTCACTAATAGCGCGGGACCATGGCGAAAGGTGCCAATGAGTCAATTTTCCGGAGAGACTATTTCCTCTCGAGACACTGCTTGGTTCCACGAATCGCAAAATGAAATGGAGAAGAAAAATCCATTTCGATTTGAACTGCTTGTGTGTCTCATGGGATGAGGAGGATCTTAATACTATTATGTTGAGAAAGCAATATTGATAATGATTATAATAATGATAATTGTAACAATAATAATAAGTGACAACAATGATAATACTAATAATTATTATAATGATAATAATAATGATAATATTTTGTTTATATATATTATTGCCTTTATTAGGACATTTACTTTCACTATTATCATTACTATTCTAAGGACAATGATATATACAACAGTATTGATAAAAAAAAAAAAAAAACAAACAAACAAACAATGATACAACTAATAACTGTAAGAAAAGAATTGTTCCTGTTGCCTTACCAAAAGCATCTTTATCATTATTATTATTTGTTACTTTTATCTTCAGTTTTCTTATGTTTTTTCATCATTTTTCGCATATTTATTGTTTTGTTTTCATTTATTGTTTTTTTTTTTGTTTCGTTTTTAATTTTTTATTCTTATGTTTATTTTTTTATCTTTATTATTATCATTATTATTCCATTATTTTTTATCATTATCATTACTATCATAATTATTATTACAATTATCACTTTCTATGAAAATGGGCATCATAGTAAGGAGGAAATAAGGAAGAGCTGAGAACTAGGAAGGAAGATGAAAGAATGGAAAAGAAAAGAAGGGATAAAGAGAGAATAACAGTGAGAGGGAGGGAATGGAGAGAGAGAGGAAAGAGTGAAGGGAAGAACGAAGAGCGGAGGAGACACGGAGAAGAATGAGGAAAAGGGATTAAAGAAGAGCAGAAAGTAGGAGAAAAGAAGGAAGAGGGAAAAAGGAATGGGAGAAAAAGGGAGTAAGAAAGAGAAATAAGAATAGAAAAAAGAAGAAGGGGACAGAGTGAAAGGGGGGTAGAGAAGAGAGTGATGGAGAAAAAAAGAGGAAGAAAAGAGAAAACAGAAAAAAGGCCAGTAAAGGAATAAAGAGATGAAGGAAGGAGAAGAGAAAATAGAGAAGAAGAGTCAAGGAGAAAGACGACAGAGAAAAGATGTAAGGAAGCATAATGAGAGCGGAGAGTAGAGAAAGACAAAAAAAAAAAAAAAAAAAAAAAGAGAGGAAGAGGAGAAAGGGGTGGGAGGGGGTGAGAGATTCAAAAGAAGAGAAATGGAGAGAAAGTGGATAAGAAAAGTAAACAAAGAGGAAAGATGGATGTAGGCCTACTAAATGAGGATGGTCAAAATGGTTAACCTCATGTGCGTGTGTTTACGTACATATGATCGTCCTTGAAAATCTTGAACTCCCAGTGACCACCCCCTCCCCTGGCTAAGACAAACTGGTAATAAATCAATAAATAAATAAATCAATCAATAAAAATCTATCCATGATTTTGAGTTATGTTAACCGACAGACAAACAACAAAGAAACTAACCAACGCTGATGATTGCAAATAATAATAGTGCAACAATGATAAATAACAATAAGAACAATTATAACAATAGAAATATTAGAATAATAATGATAATGATATTATTGATATTATCCTTATTATGATACTTCCATTATTTTTTTTCATTACTATTTTAATGATAAAGAATAATAATACTGATAAAAAACAAGAATATAACCAAAAACAATTGCAAGAATAGAATAAAGCGTTATTTTCATTTTATTGTTTTATTATTATCATCTTTTGTCCATTCTCTTTTAGTACTTCATTTTTATTCTTTTATTTCATTATTATTACCAATCTTATTGTTATTATTATTATTATTATTATTATTATTATTTATTATTATATTATTATATTATATTATCATCATTACAATTGTTACTTTCTATGAAAATGACAAAGAATAATAATAATGACTTTAAAGATAATAACAATACAATCAATGATGACAGTAAGAAGAGAAATGTCGCTCCTGTCGACTTACCAAAGTCTCTGGTTGAGGTCGCCGCCGTTCTCCGCCAGGAATTGGACGACAGAAAGGTGTCCGTTCCTGGCAGCGAAGTGAAGGGCGGTGTGGTCTGCGGGAGGAAGAAGCTTGTGTCAACCGTCGTGTTGATGGGTGTGGGAATGAGGTGGAAATGGAAGCGAAAGGGAGGATGAAAAGGGGATGGGCATCATAGTAAGGAGGAAGTAAGGAAGAGTGAGAACTAGAAAGGAAGAGGAAGGAATGGAAAAGAAGAGAAGGGATAAAGAGAGAATAACAGTGGGAAGGAGGGAATGGAGAGGGATGAAAGAGTGAAGGAAGGAACGAAGAGCGGAGGAGACAGAGAAAAATGATGAAAAGGGATTAAAGAAGAAGAGCAGAAAGTAAGAGAGAAGGAAGTGAGGAAAGGAATATGAGAAAAAGGGAGTAAGAAAGAGAAAGAAGAATAGAAAAAAGGGAAAGAGTGAAAGGGATTGATGGAGAAAAAAGAGGAAGAAAAGAGAAAGGAGAAAAAAAGTAAAGGAATAGAGAGATGAAGGAAGGAAGAGAAAACAGAGAAAAGACAAGGAGAAAGACGACAGAGAAAAGATGTAAGGAAGGAAAATAAGAGCGGAGAGTAGAGAAAGACAAAAAAGATGAAGAGGAGAAAGGGGTGGGAGGGGGTGAGAGACTCAAAAGAAGAGAGAAATGGAGAGAAAGTGGATAAGAAAAGTAAACAAAGAGGAAAGATGGATGTAGGCCTACTAAATGAGGATGGTCAAAATGGTTAACCTCATGTGCGTGTGTTTACGTACATATGATCGTCCTTGAAAATCTTGAACTCCCAGTGACCATCCCCCCCCCCCCCGCTAAGACAAACTGGTAATAGATAAATAAATAAAAAAAAATAAACAATAAATCTATCCTTAACTTTTTGAGTTATCCTGTTAACCGACAGACAAACCAACGGACAAGGAAACTAACCAACGCTGATGATTGCAATGATGATAATAATAATAGTGACAACAATGATAACGATAACAATAAGAACAATTATAACAATAGAAATATTAGTCATTAATAATAATAACAGCAATGATAATGATATTATTGATATTATCCTTATTATGATACTTCCATTATTTTTTTTCATTACTATTTTAATGATAAAGAATAATAATACTGATAAAAAACAAGAATATAACCAAAAACAATTGCAAGAATAGAATTGTTGCTCCTGTTGCCTTACCGAAGCGTTATCATTATTATCATTATTATTGTTTGATTTTCTTTTATTATCATCTTTCTTTTTGCTACTTCATTTATCTTCATATTTTTATTGTTTTGGTGTTTTATTTGTGCATTCTCTTTTAGTATATATATATTTTTTATTTTCTAACTTTTATTCTTCTTTATGTTTCTGTTTTCTTTTTTTTTTTTTTTTTATTATCATCATTCCATTATCATTATTATTGTTATTACTTTTATTATTTATTATTATTATTATTATTATTATTATTATATTATATTATTATTATTCCTATTATCATCATTACAATTGTTACTTTCTATGAATATGACAAAGAATAATAATAATGACTTTAAAGATAATAACAATACAATCAATGATGACAGTAAGAAGAGAAATGTCGCTCCTGTCGACTTACCATCACAGTCTCTGGCGTTGAGGTCGCCGCCGTTCTCCGCCAGGAATTGGACGACAGAAAGGTGTCCGTTCCTGGCAGCGAAGTGAAGGGCGGTCTCGTCTGCGGGAGGAAGAAGCTTGTGTCAACCGTCGTGTTGATGGGTGGTGGGAATGAGGATGGAAATGGAAGCGAAAGGGAGGATGAAAAGGGGGATGGGCATCATAGTAAGGAGGAAGTAAGGAAGAGTGAGAACTAGGAAGGAAGAGGAAAGAATGGAAAAGAAAAGAAGGGAAAAAGAGAGAATAACAGTGAGAAGGAGGGAATGGAGAGAGAGGAAAGAGTGAAGGGAAGAACGAAGAGCGGAGGAGACACGGAGAAGAATAATGAAAAGGGAATAAAGAAAAAGAGCAGAAAGCAGGAGAGAAGGAAAAGGCATAAAAGGGAGTAAAAGAGAGAAATAAGAATGGAAAGAAGAAGAGGAAAGAGTGAATGGGAGGTAGAGAAGAGAGTGATGGAGAAAAAAAGAGGAAGAAAAGAGAAAAGAGAAAAAAAATGTCAGTAAAGGAATAGAGAGATGAAGGAAGGAAGAGAGAAAATAGAGAAGAAGAGTCAAGACAGAGAAAAGATGTAAGGAAGGAAAATGAGAGTGGAGAGTAGAGAAAGACAAAAAAGATGAAGAGGAGAAAGGGGTGGGAGTGGGTGAGAGATTCAAAAGAAGAGAAATGGAGAGAAAGTGGATAAGAAAAGTAAACAAAGAGGAAAGATGGATGTAGGCCTACTAAATGAGGATGGTCAAAATGGTTAACCTCATGTGCGTGTGTTTACGTACATATGATCGTCCTTGAAAATCATGAACTCCCTGTGACCATCCCCCCCCTCCCCCATGGCTGACAAACTGGTAATAAATAAATAAATAAATAAATAAAAATCTATCCATGACTTTTTGAGTTATCCTGTTAACCGACAGACAAACCAATGGACAAAGAAACTGATTGCAACAATGATAATGATAATAACAATAAGAATAATTATAACAATAGAAATTTTAAAGTCGTTAATAATAATAACAATAATGATAATGATATTATTGATATTATCCTTATTATGATACTTTCATTATTATTTTCATTACTATTTTAATGATAAAGAATAATAATAGTGATAAAAAACAAGAATATAACCAAAAACAATTGCAAGAATAGAATTGTTGCTCCTGTTGCCTTACCGAAGCGTTATCATTATTATCATTATTATTGTTTGATTTTCTTTTATTATCATCTTTCTTCTTTTGCTACTTTATTTATCTTCATATTTTTTTATTGTTTTGGTGTTTTATTTGTGCATTCTCTTTTAGTATATATATATATTTTTTATTTTCTAACTTTTATTCTTCTTTATGTTTCTGTTTTCTATTTTATTTTTTTATTGTTACCATCATTCCATTACCATTATTATTGTTATTACTTTTGTTATTATTATTATTTTTATTATTATTATTATTATTATTATTCCTATTATCATCATTACAATTGTTACTTTCTATGAATATGACAAAGAATAATAATAATGACTTTAAAGATAATAACAATACAATCAATGATGACAGTAAGAAGAGAAATGTCGCTCCTGTCGACTTACCAAGCGTCTCTGGCGTTGAGGTCGCCGCCGTTCTCCGCCAGGAATTGGACGACAGAAAGGTGTCCGTTCCTGGCAGCGAAGTGAAGGGCGGTCCTGTCTGCGGGAGGAAGAAGCTTGTGTCAACCGTCGTGTTGATGGGTGTGGGAATGAGGATGGAAATGGAAGCGAAAGGGAGGATGAAAAGGGGGATGGGCATCATAGTAAGGAGGAAGTAAGGAAGAGTGAGAACTAGGAAGGGGAGGAAGGAATGGAAAAAAAGAAGGGATAAAGAGAGAATAACAGTGAGAAGGAGGGAATGGAGAGAGAGGAAAGAGTGAAGGGAAGAACGAAGAGCGGAGGAGACACGGAGAAGAATAATGAAAAGGGAATAAAGAAAAAGAGCAGAAAGCAGGAGAGAAGGAAGAGGCATAAAAGGAGTAAAGAGAGAAATAAGAAAAAAAGAGAAGAGGAAAGAGTGAATGGGAGGTAGAGAAGAGAGTGATGGAGAAAAAAGAGGAAGAAAAGAAAAAGAGAAAAAAATGTCAGTAAAGGAATAGAGAGATGAAGGAAGGAAAGAGAAATAGAGAAGAAGAGTCAAGACAGAGAAAAGATGTAAGGAAGGAAAATGAGAGTGGAGAGTAGAGAAAGACAAAAAAGATGAAGAGGAGAAAGGGGTGGGAGTGGGTGAGAGATTCAAAAGAAGAGAAATGGAGAGAAAGTGGATAAGAAAAGTAAACAAAGAGGAAAGATGGATGTAGGCCTACTAAATGAGGATGGTCAAAATGGTTAACCTCATGTGCGTGTGTTTACGTACATATGATCGTCCTTGAAAATCATGAACTCCCTGTGACCATCCCCCCCCTCCCCCATGGCTGACAAACTGGTAATAAATCAATAAATAAATCAATCAATAAAAATCTATCCATGACTTTTTGAGTTATCCTGTTAACCGACAGACAAACCAATGGACAAAGAAACTGATTGCAACAATGATAATGATAATAACAATAAGAACAATTATAACAATAGAAATATTAAAATCATTAATAATAATAACAATAATGATAATGATATTATTGATATTATCCTTATTATGATACTTTCATTATTATTTTCATTACTATTTTAATGATAAAGAATAATAATACTGATAAAAAACAAGAATATAACCAAAAACAATTGCAAGAATAGAATTGTTGCTCCTGTTGCCTTACCGAAGCGTTATCATTATTATCATTATTATTGTTTGATTTTCTTTTATTATCATCTTTCTTCTTTTGCTACTTCATTTATCTTCATATTTTTTTTGTTTTGGTGTTTTATTTGTGCATTCTCTTATATATATATTTTTTATTTCTAACTTATTTTCTTTATGTTTCTTTCTTTTTATTTTTTTATTGTTACCATCATCATTCCATTACATTATTATTTATTACTTTTGTTATTATCATTATTATTATTATTATTATTATTATTATTATTATTATTATTATCATCATTACAATTGTTACTTTCTATGAATATGACAAAGAATAATAATAATGACTTTAAAGATAATAACAATACAATCAATGATGACAGTAAGAAGAGAAATGTCGCTCCTGTCGACTTACCAAAGCGGTCTCTGGCGTTGAGGTCGCCGCCGTTCTCCGCCAGGAATTGGACGACAGAAAGGTGTCCGTTCCTGGCAGCGAAGTGAAGGGCGGTCCTGTCTGCGGGAGGAAGAAGCTTGTGTCAACCGTCGTGTTGATGGGTGATGGGAATGAGGATGGAAATGGAAGCGAAAGGGAGGATGAAAAGGGGGATGGGCATCATAGTAAGGAGGAAGTAAGGAAGAGTGAGAACTAGGAAGGGGGAGGAAGGAATGGAAAAGAAAAGAAGGGAAAAGAGAGAATAACAGTGAGAAGAGGGTATGGAGAGAGAGGAAAGAGTGAAGGGAAGAACGAAGAGCGGAGGAGACACGGAGAAGAATAATGAAAAGGGAATAAAGAAAAAGAGCAGAAAGCAGGAGAGAAGGAAGAGGCATTAAAGGGAGTAAAAGAGAGAAATAAGAATGGAAAAAGAAGAAGAGGAAAGAGTGAATGGGAGGTAGAGAAGAGAGTGATGGAGAAAAAAAGGAAGAAAAGAGAAAAGAGAAAAAAAATGTCAGTAAAGGAATAGAGAGATGAAGGAAGGAAGAGAGAAAATAGAGAAGAAGAGTCAAGACAGAGAAAAGATGTAAGGAAGGAAAATGAGAGTGGAGAGTAGAGAAAGACAAAAAAGATGAAGAGGAGAAAGGGGTGGGAGTGGGTGAGAGATTCAAAAGAAGAGAAATGAGAGAGAAAGTGGATAAGAAAAGTAAACAAAGAGGAAAGATGGATGTAGGCCTACTAAATGAGGATGGTCAAAATGGTTAACCTCATGTGCGTGTGTTTACGTACATATGATCGTCCTTGAAAATCATGAACTCCCTGTGACCATCCCCCCCCTCCCCCATGGCTGACAAACTGGTAATAAATAAATAAATAAATAAATCAATAAAAATCTATCCATGACTTTTTGAGTTATCCTGTTAACCGACAGACAAACCAATGGACAAAGAAACTGATTGCAACAATGATAATGATAATAACAATAAGAATGATTATAACAATAGAAATATTAAAGTCGTTAATAATAATAACAATAATGATAATGATATTATTGATATTATCCTTATTATGATACTTTCATATTTTTTCATTACTATTTTAATGATAAAGAATAATAATAGTGATAAAAAACAAGAATATAACCAAAAACAATTGCAAGAATAGAATTGTTGCTCCTGTTGCCTTACCGAAGCGTTATCATTATTATCATTATTATTGTTTGATTTTCTTTTATTATCATCTTTCTTCTTTTGCTACTTCATTTATCTTCATATTTTTTATTGTTTTGGTGTTTTATTTGTGCATTCTCTTTTAGTATATATATTTTTTATTTTCTAACTTTTATTCTTCTTTATGTTTCAGTTTTCTTATTTTTATTGTTACCATCATCATTCCATTAACATTATTATTATTATTACTTTTATTATTATTATATTATTATATTATTGTTATTATATTATTATTATTATTCCTATTATCATCATTACAATTGTTAATTTCTATGAATATGACAAAGAATAATAATAATGACTTTAAAGATAATAACAATACAATCAATGATGACAGTAAGAAGAGAAATGTCGCTCCTGTCGACTTACCAAGCGGTTCTGGCGTTGAGGTCGCCGCCGTTCTCCGCCAGGAATTGGACGACAGAAAGGTGTCCGTTCCTGGCAGCGAAGTGAAGGGCGGTTTTGCCTGCGGGAGGAAGAAGCTTGTGTCAACCGTCGTGTTGATGGGTGATGGGAATAAGGATGGAAATGGAAGCGAAAGGGAGGATGAAAAGGGGGATGGGCATCATAGTAAGGAGGAAGTAAGGAAGAGTGAGAACTAGGAAGGGGGAGGAAGGAATGGAAAAGAAAAAGAAGGATA